AGTGTAGAAATATTTTTACTCTACAATTTCATTTTCTGTTTGTTAATTATTGTATCTCCAATATAGGGAGTGTCTGTAACCTGCATACCGGTTGGCATGAAAGTGCAGAAAGTAGAAGATGTCCTGAAAATTGCCCTGCTTCCAGTCTAAATTTAGGGTTTATATATCTGATAGTTAAATTTTGATATTCATTTTTATAACATTTTCTATCACAGTCGTATCAAAACATAGCATGAAAATGATATTTTTGATAGTGTTAAAAGATTTGAGGGGTATATAAATAAATATTAAAATTTATATATAAATAATAAAAAAATGTGTGATATGTAATAATACATACAAATTGTGGTACCTATTTGCCCAGTGAATTTAGTGGTGCCTCTAAATGCGTTCATATATAGCAAATTTAACTATAATTTTTCGCGCTTATAAAACCCTATGAATCATCAAATTATGATGGTAAAATCATATGTATTTTAGCATTTATTTAATAAGACTACCAAAATTTATAAAGAGCTATAGACCAATAAAACAGAGCAAATTTATTACCATTATTATTATTTTTATTATTATTATTATTTCATTTTAAAAATGCCATTTTTTTTATTACCTTAAATCTTACCGGAGTATTACAGAAATAATGTTATAATAATAACAGAATACAACGAAGAAATTACCAGAATATAACCTTAATAATATTAATACATGAATACAACGGAAAAACTTCTATAATATAACTTAGTACTAAACCTGAGTAACACTAGAATATATCATTAGCCTAAATAATATTACCTAGGTATTACAAAGATAATACTATAATAATAACATAATACAACGGAAAAACTACTAGAATATAATTTTAATACTACACCGGAATATAACATTGATAATATTACCTGAATACAACGGAAAAACTTCTATAATATAACTTAGTACTAAACCTGAGTAACACTAGAATATATCATTAGCCTAAATAATATTACCTAGGTATTACAAAGATAATACTATAATAATAACATAATACAACGGAAAAACTACTAGAATATAATTTTAATACTACACCGGAATATAACATTGATAATATTACCTGAATACAACGGAAAAACTTCTATAATATAACTTAGTACTAAACCTGAGTAACACTAGAATATATCATTAGCCTAAATAATATTACCTAGGTATTACAAAGATAATACTATAATAATAACATAATACAACGGAAAAACTACTAGAATATAATTTTAATACTACACCGGAATATAACATTGATAATATTACCTGAATACAACGGAAAAACTTCTATAATATAACTTAGTACTAAACCTGAGTAACACTAGAATATATCATTAGCCTAAATAATATTACCTAGGTATTACAAAGATAATACTATAATAATAACATAATACAACGGAAAAACTACTAGAATATAATTTTAATACTACACCGGAATATAACATTGATAATATTACCTGAATACAACGGAAAAACTTCTATAATATAACTTAGTACTAAACCTGAGTAATTAGTTCTTTGGTTATATTGCGTTATATTATCTTCGGTACAAGCTTGATACGACCGAGGACTGGCGAATCCAATAAAGGAATATTTCAATAAAGCCGTGATATATTCCTCCGCCAGCGCGCGTATATATTTTGGTTGTATTGCGGTAATACTTCGGCAATATTTTGGTATTATTTAGCACAAATCAGAGATAAAATTAAGTTAAATTCCCAAAATATTTTAAATCGCACGGATCTTATTCAAATGTCATTTAATCACTCGTAGATGTTATGTAGTAGTCGTATTATTTATTTATCCTCGGTACAAGCTTGATACGACCGCGGACTGGCGAATCCAACAAAGGAATATTCTAATAAAATCGTGATATATTCCTCCGCCAGCGCGCGTATATATTTTGGTTGTATTGCGGTAATACTTCGGCAATATTTTGGTATTATTTAGCGTAAATCAGAGATAAAATTAAGTTAAATTTCCAAAATATTTTAAATCGCACGGATCTTATTCAAATGTCATTTAATCACTCGTATATGCTATGTAGTAGTCGTATTATTTATTTATCATCGGTATAAGCTTGATACGACCGCGGACTGGCGAATCCAACAAAGAAATATTCCAATAAAACCGTGATATATTCCTCCGTCAGCGCTCGTATATATTTTAGTTGTATTGCGGTAATACTTCGGCAATATTTTGGTATTATTCAGCTCAAATCAATGATAAAATTAAGATAAATTCTCATTATATTTTAAATCCCATGGATCTTATTCGTAGTAGATGCTACGTAGTAGTCGTATTACTTATTTATCCTCTGAAAAAGCCAGAAACGATGTTATGGTATTACTTCGGGAATATTTGGGTATTATTTAACACAAACCACATTATGCTCTGCAACATATACATTAATTCTGAAATTAGAAACAATAGATCGTTTCAATTACTTGGTATTTCACACATCATCATCTAGGTCCATCAATAAGCTCGTGTATGTGTCTGTGGGCAGTGATGCAGGCAATTCCTGCTGATTTTGAGCAATCACATATGAATATAAGTACATATGTCAATTCAGAATTAGATCACACAGCATAAAATGTTTCGAACTTTAAGTTATGTACCTGATTATATTGATTCGACATTTAAAATTGGATTTGATGGGTGAAATATTTCTTGACTTGAAACAACTTCTTTATCCTTTCCTGTTAAAGAATGTGTCATGTTAGTGAGCTGTAATTCAGCGTACATCCAAAACAATAGAAGAATATAACCTAACTAACACTTTGTTTATTTTTCAATCTTACTTTTTGATCGGTTATTCTTCTCCCAAAAGTCTTTTAATCTAGCATTAGAAACTCATTTTGGCTGCATCTTCGTTGGGTCCTTCAAATTGTGTGGTTTATTCGGTGTCTTTTTCTTCTTTGACATTGGCATTTCCTGAGGTTTTTTCCCATTCAATATGGCTTCAGATTCGAGTGTCAGTTTCCTTAATGTTTCTAGCACGTTTTTTTTAGCAAGTTCATTACCTTGAGTTAATATGCTGATCCGGTATGCAAATTTATGAACGTGTATTCGATATATGAGACCACTCGAACAAGTTGCTGAAGTTTGTGAATCTTTCAAATGTTTATAACCATAGTTGTTATATATATCCCTCTTT